GGAGGTCAGTCTATGATCAAAACAATTACAATGTGATAGAAGGTAAACACAGAGGAACAGAGATCCAGGGGGTGAGAAGGTCAGGTAGATTACAGGATAAAATAGACTGTCTTAAATGGAGGGAAGAGTTAATGGAATATAAGGTAACATAATGGTGGGGTTGGGGTGGGGGGTTAGTTGGGTGTTGGGGAAGGCAATACACGAAGGGGGAGGAGGTGGAAGAACAAGATAGATAGGGGAACACTGAGACAGGTTTGCATGGCCTAAGTGGGACAGAGGTAAATAGTGATGCATGCTCAACCTTGGAACAACAGGGCTCTGTGATACGGGGATCTAGGCATAGTTTGAAAAGGGGAAATAATACCAAGGTGCATGACTGTCTTATGATTATTGGTTTCCCTTGCCTACTATTATAATATAGACACTTGAGTGGGATAGAAAGGAATGTTGGGAAACATGATTACAGAACACTTGCAAGCCCGTCTTCAGCCTAACTAATTGGAATACCTAAAAGAGATCTTAGAACTTGCCTAGTGAAATAGACCTCTTGCAGAGCCTTTCAGAGTATAGGACCTTAGGTGGAATCCTGAGTCCCATCCAGAACCTTATGAGATGAGACATTCCCACTAGAAAGGACAAGCAGACTAGCCTGGAACAGCTAGAGCAACAGAAGATGCATCTTCAAAGAAAGATCATCAGGAAAAAGCCAAAACAAAAATGTCAGCATGACAGGCTACTACAAGAATAAACAAACTGTTCGCCAGGAAGCCATCAAAACAAGCAATCAAGGATCTTCAGGACAAACTCCACTCTAAGACTGAAACTCAAAGGGAACACACAAACAAGCATCTAAGCTTTCTGGTGACCACATTGGTTTACTGATGAGTGGAAGAAGATGCAAAGCAGCAATGAAGAAATGGGCTGAGTTCAACCACAGACAATTGACTCCCGTTGACCTGGAAATGAGAGAGAAAAGAGGAAGGGCTGGTTGGTCCAACGTGTGGTGAGACCTAGGGACACCTGAGCCCATGGACAAGGACATAGCCACAGAGGGCTAGAGCTGAGAGTGAAGCATCCACCTGATATGAAGTGAGGGGAGATACACAAGAACACTCAAACTTGCAGACAATACCCATTTGACCTAGCCTTGATGGTTTGATAATCAGCACTCGACTAGAAGAAGATTTTAAAAAAAAATTCTTTTTTTTGATAAAGGAAATAAGGGTAAATAGCTACAATTTGATAAACCTGACCTGTACTCATGGAAGTAGTAACTCTAAATACCAACAGAGAGGGAAGGAATCTTCATATCCCCTCTGTACACAGGGTAGATAGGGATGGGCAACTTAGACATTGGCTACCTAAAATGAGGGGGTGATAGAGGCACAAAATGACTGGCTTACAAAGTTTCAAGAGGGAATTTAGTTTAAGAGTGTACAGGGGAAGATAGAGTCCCCACTGAATAGTTTTCATCTTGTCTAGATGGATCCGGTGAAAAGAGATGGGGATAAGATTCGTATGATTCGATAGTGAATAATTGTTATCATCACAAATTGCTACTGTCATAATTGTAAAGGTAGAAGTTTTGTAACAAAAACAGAGGAATGGTTAATCTTAAGTCCAGAAACAGAGGACCCTAGGACCACTAAGGGAGAAGAGAACAAGCAGAATGAGGGACCTTATCCAGAGAAGCAGCAATACCAGAGATGGGTTCATAGAGAGGGGGAGCAGCTGAGGACTCTAGATTCATGGGAAGAGAGGGAGTAAGAGCTGGTGGCCAGGAGGCTGACTTTCAGAATATGCCCTTTGGGAGTGTAAATTATTATACATGCCTGAGTGTTGTTGTTGTTGTTTTAAAGAACTAAAGTGAGTACAGAGAAATACTGTTAACTGATGGTACATGGAGGGGATTATAATCAATGTAATGAAACAAGGTGTATGATTTGTTGAATGTAAAACTGATGATCTGCTCTATGGACTTTCACTCAATCCACATTAAAAACCTTAAAAAAATGAATAGGAGAAGTATATGATCTGAAGTGTTCGGTTAATTGCATCCATAAAGAATTGCCTCCTTTACCATGAGACCAGAAGAGCTGAATGGTGGCTGACTGCCATTATTGAACATATACCAAAGATTCTATAAAAGAATACTGATCAAAAAGGGGAAGAACAAGAATGTTCCTTAGAAGCAAGGATGGCAAGACTTTGTCTTTTATTCTTTGGACATGTTATCAGGAGGGATCAGTTCCTGGAGAAATACATCATGCTTAAATCTACTGGATCACCTTCCTTTGGAAGAGACACTGATATAGATCTGACTCTGTCTTTGCACATTTCATAATACCAAAATGGATATCAGAAGAGACTGTGAAACTTGCTCTTGAACTTAGAATAGCTAAAGTGAATAGAAGAAATGAAAAAGTAAAAGAAATAGAGAGAAGATTCCTAAGGGCGGCTCAAGAAGACAAAGTAAAGTATTATAATGAAATGTGCCTGGAATTGAAGTTAGAAAAAGAAAACATCCTCGACATTTCTCAAGCTGAAAAAACTGAAGAAAAACTAAAGTTCTGAGTTGCAGTATTAAAAAATAACATTACCACCACAGCAAAGGGCATTCATATATTGTTTTATTTTTAACTCATACCAGAATACTGTGATGCTGATTAGTTATCGAGAGTTTCAAAATCTGAGAAATCCATTCGAGCCAGGGATCCATATGGGAGTTTGGTACACAGAGAATTTGCTTGTTTATTCTTCTTGACACAATTCCAAGAGTGTTGAATGTCAGCAATCATAGACAACTTTGTTGTCTATTTGTTTTAATAAGAAAAGCACTTCACACAATATCAATAAATTCTGTGTTGTTGTTGTTGTTAAGTGCTGTAGAGTCGGTTTTGACCCATAGTGACCCTGAATAGGGTTTCCGAGGCTCTAAATCTTTATGGGAGCAGATCACCTCATCTTTCTCCCGCGGAGCAGCTGGTAGTTTCAAACTGTTGACCTTCCGGTTCGCAGCCCGATTCATAACCACTACACTACCAGAGCTCCTTAATAAATTCTGTAGTGTTTTTTCTTTTGTTTTTTTTTTTCAAATTAAAAAAAAAGGGGGGGAGAGAGCAAGAGCAGAATTTCAAAATTTCCTGGACTCAGGCTTTCTGGAGCAATGGGCTCTGGATGAACCCCTGAAATTATTGCCCTGAGATCATCTTTAAAATTTAAACCAAAATATCCCCTGAAGTCTTCTTACAATGAAATAATAGTTTTGTTTAAAAAAAGATCTGTCTTGAACATTATACTCTTTTAGGAATGATCTACATGGGGTTCAAGTGACAATAGTAACTTGAAAGATTAGATAGGAACCTAAGAAGGTAGTGAGTTTATTTAATGGGGGAAGAACAACTCAAAAAAAGAGGGTAAGAATGGTTGTACAACTCACAGAATATAATCGATGTCACAGAATTGTTGTTAGTTTCTTTGAGTCAGTTTCAACTCATAGGTGACCTATTCACAACAAAAGTAACACTGGCCGGTTCATGCCATCCTCACAACTATTGCTACATTTAAGTCCATTGTTTTTGCCACTGTGTCAACCTATCTTATTGGAGGTCTTTATCTTTTTCACTGAACCTCCACTTTACCAAGCATGATATCCTTCTCCAGGCATTGATCCCTTCTAATAACATGTGTGAAGTATGGGAGATGAAGTCTTGCTATTCTAGCTTCTAAGGAGCACTCTGGTTGCACTTCTTTCAAGAGAAAATGGTTTGCTCTTCTGGTTTGTCCCATGGTACTTTTCATACTCTTCTCAAACACCATAACTCAAATGTATCGATTCTTCTACAGTCTTCCTTATTCATTGTCCAAACTTTCACATATATATGAAGCTATTGAAAATACAATCGCTTGGGTCAGGCACACCTTAGTCCTCAAACTGATCTCTTTGCTTTTGAACACTTTAAAGAGGTCTTTTGCAGCAGATTTGCCTAAGGCAATATGTCATTTGATATCTTAACTACTGCTTCCATGAGTGTTGCGTATATAGAACTAGTAATTAAATCAAGAATGTATATACAGAACTGGTTTGATGGGTTTGTTTTGCTGTGTATATTTTCAACAACAACAAAATATAATTCAAAAAAGAATATTAATGCAAGTAATTTACAGTGATATAAGTAGAATCTAAAAGGAGTGGTTACGAATTGGGCTGTGAACCGCAAGGTCAGCAGTTCGAAACTACCAGCTGTTCCACAGGAGAAAGATGAGGCTTTCTGCTCCTGTAAAGATTTACAGCCTCGGAAACCTTGTACAGGGTCGCTATGAGTCAGAACCGACTCCACGGCACATAACAACAACAACAAACAAGTAGAATCTAAAATCTAATTATCATTTAAAAATTATAATTCTAGATAAAAAAGTGATAGAAAGTGAATGGAAATGTTATTTGTACAGGACCATCATATCACTTAGTTTCGCCATTGCTGTGGTTAGGGGTGTCGAGCTGGTTTCATCACATAGCAACCCTGTGTAGGGTTTCCAAAGAGCAACTGGTAGGTTTGAACCACTGAGCGTGCGGTTACCAGTCCAGTATTTATCTAATAGTGTCCCACCAGAACTCCACACTTAAGAGACTCCATTTCAGCAGAAGACTTACCTTCTGTATTTTGAAGGTTGAACAGGTCTGATTGAACTTGTTTGCCACCAGGATGTATTCTGCATGAGAAGGCTTTAGTTCCACCACACAGGAAGACTGCTGCTTCATATCACTCCAGTTCATAGGGACCTCAACTGCAAAACAGACATGTGAGGATTCCTTCAAATCTGGAAGGCTCAGCTACATACTTCACATTTCTGGTATGCTTTGAAAAAGTGAGTATCATTTGTGTTCTTGCTTTGGTAGTGGCAGCAGTATGCTGTCGAGTTGGTTCTAACTCATAGTAACCCTGGATAAGGTTTTCCAAGGCTATAAATCTCTAAGAAAGCAGAAAGCCTCATCTTTCTCTTGTGGCGCAGCTGGTAGATTTGAACTGCTGACCTTTCGGCTAGTAGCCCATAACCCACACTATGCCAACAGGGATTCTTGTGTTCTTGAGTTACAATGTCCTAATTCTATTTGTTGAAGAAGTTCCTTACCTTTCTAGGAGAACGTTTTCCAAATTACAGACAACAGACAAATCATGGCAGAGCCAAAAATAATGTTTGCTTAAAAAAACCAGGCCCACAGATCTAGTGAATCAGAATCTCTGGAGAAAGAAGCCTAAATTTCTGCATCCTAACAAGTTTTGATCATACTAAGATTTGAGAACGGCTGCATATTCTGTTTGTTCTCTAATTATCATAACTTAATCATATAACAAATTATTTCCCTACAATGTTTTAAATAGTCGTTATTGTGCAAGGTTGGAATTTCAAACCCACCAGCTGCTCTTTGGAAACCCCATACAGAGTGGTTATGAGTCAGAACCAGAACCGACTCTTGGTACCGGAACACCCGTACAGGGTGGCTTACTCATAGCACTGAACAACAATTGTTCTCTTTAAGGAACCTTGGCAGCGCTGGGAGTTACACATTGTGCTGCTAATCACAAGGTCAGTTAAAGCCAGCAGCCTCTCCGTGGGAGAAGGATGAGGCTGTCTGCTCCCATAAAGGTTTACAACGCAAATGGGCAGCTATACTCTTTCCTATGGGGGTCACTAGGAGTAGGAATTGACTTGAAGGCAGTAGGTTTTTGGGTTTTATTGTTCTTCGTACAATTCCATGAATTTCTGCCAAAACTCGCGGCTACAATCTATTTGTTCATTGTTCTTCATAGTGTCCTTAAGAGTTGGGTGCCTGAGAGGTTATGGTAGCAGCTCCGTTCCCTCTTCTGATAAGCAGGATATTAGATTGTTATTTCCCAGGACTGCTCAGCATCTGAACAATTAATTCTTACTGAGGTCACAAGAGTTTAATAGAGTATACCAAAACCCAATTTACTAGTTTTCAATGGATTTCAAAGGCAAGAATGGCTGCTTAGACAAGACAGGTATCCCTGTCTTGTGGAGGATTTCCACTCAGAGAATCATGTATGTGTCACGGAGCCTTATGCTTAGGGTACAGGTGATTTCCTGGGTCATCAGTCAGAGAGTGTCCTCTTGAGTTTCTAATCCTTCCCTTTTTCTTCTAGAAGACAATGGGTAAACTATTCTTTTAAGGCCACCGCCTTTCTTGCTCCTAACTGAAATAGTTATTACCTCTCCAGCAGAATTGACTCTGGAAAGCTTGTAAACCAGAGAGATGGGGACAAATTTAAGACTTGGCTATCATTACCATAAAAACGGTCATCCTTAGGCTCTTGGGTATCAAACAACCATAATACAAGTTCCTTAAGCTCAGAGACCAAGTTTCAAAATTTATTCTCCTAGGCTTACTTGAATTTCATCTACTTGAGTAAAATTTTGATGTAGTACAAAAAAGTCAAAAAGTGGATGTAAAGTAATGGGCAACGGGCATGGAAATTTAACTCACCTTCTGATTTTGTAAGACGCTGAATAGATAAACTGCGTCCTCTTGCATCGGTAGCTGTGCATGCCTGAAGATCCACTGTGCAGTTCTGATCATGAATTTTGACTTGAACTGTCTTTTGTTTTGCTCTCTTTGCATTTTCCAGTTGCATATTGCTTATTTTGTCAAAAGAATAAAAAGTGTTGTTTTCACTATATTGCCATTCTATATATTCACTGATACAATCAGCCTGAGATGCCTGTTCTTTGGTCACTCTAACCCTCTTGATCATTTCCTCAATAGCACTTGTAGCTTTCACAACATCTCTGCTAATTCCCTTAACTTCAATGAATGACTTCCGAGTATCCAGGGCAATGGTAATATTTAAATTCTTCTGCAGCTTATTCAATTCCTGATATTCCTTTTCATCAAAGTTTTTGATATTCTCATCTTCATTGTTGTAAGTAAACTGTTCCTTTTTAATCAGATCCTGTAGCCAAGTGATAGTGTTTCCCACATTTCTTTCATTTTCACCACACACCAGAAAAGTTGCTGATACAGTTTTTTTTTCCAAAACCAAAGGAGTCTGTTTTTTTGGAGGCTGCTGTGAGAGACCCAAAAATGCTAAAAAAAAAAAAAAAAAAAATAGAGGAAAAGTAGGCATTTTACATGTAACACCAATATTACTAACATGGGTTTCATAGAAATGAACAACTCACATGCAATTTTAGACATTATCGATGGGCTAGCAGAAGACTGAGACCCTTCTCTTTTTTTCATGTTGGTATAAAACACATCCAATACTTGAGGTAGAAAGATAACAACTTTAACTTTCTTCACAGAGTGAACTGATCCTTTCTGGACAAAGTCTTCAATGGCATCTATCATGGCTTTAGCAACCTTATCTGGGTCTTGATTGGCACGTCCTAGGGAAAAAAAAAGAAATGACCCAAAGCAAAACCAGAAAAAAAAAAAAAAAAAAAACCTAGCTGGAAAAAGCTAAGGAGTAAATGAGGGATTCCAACTCTCACAGAATAAATGTCCATTACCCAACTCTTTCATCATTGTCAGATTTTCTAGCAATACCTCAAAAACACTTTTTGATGTAATAGGGAGTTTTGGGTAACAGTCCAGGAATGAACAAGGAGCCCTGAAACCCAATTGTCTGGTGTTTAACATTCATATCTGTTCCACTTAACTGGTTCCAGGTCCTCCTTCCTAGTACAGAGTACAAGCAGTATTTCTTCTTAGTTCACTTGTTATTTTTAAGCACCATTGAGTTGGTTTCAACTCAGAGCAGCCCTCTCTAGGGTTTCTGAGGAGCCACTGGTTGGGTTTGAACCACCAACCAGTGCTTATCCTACAGTGCCACACTAGTCTACTAAAAAACAAAAAAAATAAAACATAAAAATCAGAAGGTATTAATGTATGTTGTAACAGCATTCTCTTTAAAAAGATAAACAATGTATTTTGTCTCAGTTATCATTTGATTTTATGCATGTATCCTTATTCTTAGGGGCCCTGATTTAAACTAAGTTAATTTTGAAGGCTTATTAACAACTTGAAATAAGTAGATAACACAACCTTGGTTGCCAGAAAGAAAGAGGACTTGAAATCCTTGGTAATGAAGATTTAATCATTATAGCCTTCAGTATGGACTACAGCTCAATGTAAAGGAAAAAAATCCTCACAATTGGACCAATAAACAACATCATGATAAACAGGAAGAAGACTGAAGTTGTCAAGGATTTCATTTTACTTGGATCCACAATCAATGCTCATAGAAGCAGAAGTCAATAAATCAAACAACATACTACATTGGGAAAATCTGCTACAAAAGACCTCTTTAAAGCATTAAAGAGCTATGTTGTCACTTTGAGTACTAAAGTGTACTTGACCCAACTCATAAAACTTTCAATCATCTCATATGCATGTGAAAGCTGGACAATGAGTAAGTAAGAGTAGACAAGAGTTAATGCATTTGAATTATGGCTTTATCAAAGAACATTAACAGTTTCATTGCTTGCCAGAAGAACAAATAAATCTGCCTTGGAAGAAGTACAGTTGGAATGCTACTTGGAAGCAAGGAAAGCAAGACTTTGTCTCACTTACTTTGGGCATATTAAGAGGGACCCGTCCCTGGAAAAGGACATTATGTGTTGTAGGGGATCAGCGAAAAAAAGAAAAACCCTCAAAGCAATGGATTGACCCAGTGGCAACAACAATGAGCTCAAACATAACAACAATGGTGAGGATGGTGTAGGACCAGAGAGTATTTCATTCTGTTATGCCTAGGGTTGCTATGAGTTGGAACTGACTTGGCAGCACGAAGCAACAATAATTTTGTAAGAGACCAGAAGCTCTACGTTATAAATTATAATCTATAATTATTTGCACAGAAGTTATCCAACAGCCTCTGGGTTAAGTCTTTCCTCCCATATCCTGTGAGATTTTAGTTATCTATCAGACTTCCCTAAAAACTGTCTGTCAGTTTGTCATACAGTGGTAGCTTTTGTGTTGCTGTGATGTTGGAAGCTGTACCATTGGTATTTAAATACCAGCAGGGGTACTCATGGTGGACATGTTTCAGTGGAACTTCCAGCCTAAGGCAGACTAGGAAGAAGGAGATGGACCACTTCTGAATGGTTAACCGCTGGAAACCTTAGGAATAGCAGCAAAACACTGTCTGATAAGATACCAGAAGATAAGCCCCTCAGGTTGGAAGGCACTCAAAAATACGACTGGGGAAGCACTGCTCCCTCAAAGTAGAGTTGACCCTAATGACATAGATGTAGTAAAGTTTGGGGGACCTTCATCTGTAAAAGTGGCAAAACTCAAATTGGGAAGAAACAGCTGCAAACACCCATTAAGAATCAGAACATGGAATGGATGAAGTATGAATTTAGGAAAATTAGAAGTTGTTAAAAATGAAATGTAATGCATATAGATCAATATTGTAAACATTAGAGTGGGAAATGAACTGGTGGCCTTTTTGAATCACACAGTCATAGGGTTTACTATGATGGAAGTGACAAACTGAAAAGGTATGGTATCTCATTCAATATCAAAAAGAGCATTTCAAGATATACCTTGGAGTCCAGTGCTATCTGGGATAGGATAATATCCATACACTTTTATAAGGAAGACCAGTTAATACTACTGCTATTCAAATTTATCCCTCAACTACTAAAGCCAGTGATGATGAAATTGAAGAATTATACCAACTTCTTTAGTCTGAAATTGATCAAACATGCAATAAAGATGCATTGATAATTACTGGTGATTCAAATGTGAAAGTTGGAAACAAAGAGGAAGGAAGGATCAGTATTTGGAAAATATGGTCTTGGTGACAGAAATAATGTTGGACACTGAATAATACAATTTTTCAAGACCAATGAGTTATTCATTGCAAATACATTTTTCAACATGATAAATGTTGGCTATACATGTGGACCTCACCAGATGGAATGCACAGCGATTAAACTGACTACATCTATGGAAAGAGATGATGGAGAAGCTCAATATCATCAGCCAAAACAAGACCAGGGACCAACTGTGGAAGAGTCCATCAATTGCTTATATGCAAGTTCAGGCTGAAGTTGAAAATAATTCCAGGAGAGACAAAATATGACATTGAGCATATCCCACCTGAACTTAGAGATCATCTGAAGAACAGATTTGATGCATGAGATATTAATGACTGAAAACCAGAGAAGCTGTTGGATGACATTAAGACCATCATACAGAAAGAAAGCAAAAGGTCATTAAAAAGACAAAAAAGACCAAAATCGATGTCAGAAAAGACTGAAGTTTGCCAATGAATGGAGAGAAGCTAAAATAATTGAAAAAATGATGACGTAAAAGAGCTGACCAGAAAAGTTCAAAGGGAAGTACAAATCAAGAAGACAAAGGCAAGCATTATAATGAAATGTACAAAGACCTGGAGTTAGAAAACCAAAAGGAAAGGACATGCTCAGCATTTCCAAAGTTGAAAGAACTGAAGAAAAAAAATCAATCCCTGGATTGTTATACTAAAGGAATCTAGGACTAAATAGATTAGTACAGTGGCAGGATCAATGGGCTCAAATGTAGCAATAGTTGTGACATTGGCCCAGGATTGGGCAGTATTTTGTTCTGTTGTTCATAGGGTCACTATGAATTGGTACCAACGTGATGACACCTAACAACAACAACAAATGACAAGATATTAAACGATGCAGGAAACATCAAAAGAAGATGGAAGGAATTTCCCAAATCACTGTACAAAAAGAATTGGTGAATGTTCTATCGTTTCAAAAGGTACAGTATGATCAAGAACTGATAATATTGAAGAAAGATGTTCAAACATCATTGAAAGCATTGGTGAGAAGTAAGATTCTAGGAATTGACAGAATACAAATCAAAATGTTTCAGCAAACTGATGCAGTGTTGGAGGCCCTCACTCATTTATACCAAGAAATTTGGAAGACAGCTACCTGACGAACCTATAATAAGAAATCCATATTTGTGGCCATCCCAGAGAAAGGTGACCCAACAGAATGAAGAAATCATCTAATATTCTGAACATCACATGCAAATAAAATTCTGCAGAAGATAATTCAAAGACCGGGAGCTTCCAGAAATTCAAGGTAAATTCAGAAGAGAGTGTGAAATGAGAGATATCACTGCTGACATTAGATGGATCTTGGCTAAAAGCAGAGAATACCAGAAAGATGTTTACTTATGCATTATTGACTATGCAAAGGCATTCTACTGTGTGGATTATAGCAAACTATGGGTAACACTGTGAAAAATAGGTATTCCAGAATATTTAATTGTGCTCATGAGGAACCTGTATGCGCCTGAAAGGTCTGGGCTTTGTAATGGGTCTCGGCCTCCAGCCTACCCCACCCCGGCCAATCTGAGAGACTTCCCCATCACCTCAGGGGGGTGTTTGTTCCCCCAGAAGGCCCAGTCCTGGGATCAAGGTCAAAGCATTTGTTGGAGTTGAGATACTAGCATCGAGTTTCCTTGGACATTCGGACAACTGGGGAAACTATATTTCTTATTTGGGATATTTATTTCTTTTCTACATTCCCATTTTCACTTCAGGAAATGTATGTTTGCCTTTGAGTGTTTGGGCAGTTACCATGTCAATTAAAAAGCCATGCTAACGTTTTTCTACTTGAATTGTTAAAGAAAGGGCTATAGACTGCAGGAAGATGGAGTACTTCTCTTCCAGTATGATTTTCATCATGGCCTTTTCCAAAGCACTAGAGCTGGGATTAGTTGTTGGTTTGGTCTACCATGAAACTGCACCAGCAGATGACATTTGGTCCCCGGAGGAGCCTGCAATTCGTCATCAACCTTTGCAATTTGTGTCGTTCGTGGGCATCCAGGACAGTAAACGGCTAAACAAGACCTGCTATCTAATTGGGGGAATCTGCATGCTTGGGTCCTTCTGTGCTTACCCTCCTCACTTCTATGGATGGAACTGCAAGCATGATATTCGCAACGAGAACTGTGGGCCTGTGCCCCATGACACCACTGCCCAAGAAGTGTTCCCTGTGTAAATGCTGGCATGGTTGGCTGCACTGCTTTCCTCAGACATTTCTGGCCGGTTGTGATGGCCGTGCGATGGATGAACACCTACCAGCTTCCAGGACTCCAGAATTAAGGCCATCTATATGCACCATTCTTACGCTAGCTGGCATTTACCTTTCTGCACTGTTCTGTTCATCGATATTTGCCTTTTTCTAAAATGACAAGTTTAGGTGCCATGGAAATTTCCTGGTCAGTAAACATTGTAACTGAAACGTCATCATTTGTTAGTTGCTTTGAAATAATGAATCCATTCTGATAATGGCCCCTAACATTTGCTTAATGTGCCAATGACTTCCTTCCTCTACCTCTACCTCATCTTTCCTCCCCAGAAACCTACTTTAAAAAAAAATTCAAATTTATCTACTTTGTGCCCAAGTACTGTTTCTTGCTACATCTAGCTATATGAAGGGGTTCAGATTCATTTTTTCCTTTAATCATACGAATTCTATCTTCCAATTATTAAAGGCTAGTCCTAAGGAGCTCTGGTAGTGTAGTGGTTACAAATTGAGCTGTGAACCGCAAGGTCAGCAGTTCGAAACTACCAGCTGTTCTGCGGGAGAAAGATGAAGCTTTCTGCTCCTGTAAAGATTAACAGCCTCTGTACAGGGTTGCTATGGGTCGGGACCGACTCCACGGCACACAACAACAACAGTCCTAATTCCTAATATGGAACTAAGGATAAAATACTTCATGGAGTTTGTTAAAAATCAATAAAGAGTAGCTTTAAATGAAAAAAAAAATAACAGTACAGGGGCCACTTGTTGTTGTTGTTAAGTACTGTTGAATTGGTTCTGACTCATAGCAACCCTTTATAGGGTTTCCAGGGGGTGGCTGTTGAGCCTGAACCACGGACCTTGTGACTCAAACCGACCTTGCAATCCAGCACATAAACTTGCAGTGCTACACCAGGGGTCACTGAATGGTTTAAAATCAGAAAAAGTGTGTTCCAGAGTTGTTTACTTTCACCATACTAATTCAATCTGCATGCTGAGAAATAATTGATAAACTGGATTATATGAAGAAAAACGTGGCATTAGGATTGGAGGAAGACCCATTAATAAATTGTGATATGCAAATCATACACCCCTGCTTGCTGGAAGCAAAGAGGATTTAAAATATTTACTGATGAAGATCAAAGACTTTAGTAGGGATTGCAAAAGATTTTGCTTGGATCCACAATCAAGGTTCATGGTGCAGCAGTTAAGAAATCAAATGATATGTTGCATTAGGCCAATCTGCTGCATAAGACCTTTTTATAGTGTTAAAGAGCAAAGATGCCATTTTGAGAATTAAGGTGCTCCTGACCCAAACCATGGTATTTCCAATCGCCTCGTATGCATGTGAAAGTTGGATAATGAATAAAGAAGACTGTAGAAGAATAGATGCATTTGAATTATGGTGCTGGTAAAGCATATTGAAAGTATCCTGGACTTCCAGAAGAATAAACAAATCTGTCTTGGAAAAAGTATAGTCAGAATGCTCCTTAGACACAAGGATGGCAGACTTTGTCACTCATACTTTGTACTTGTTGTTAGGAGGGCCCAGCACCTGGAAAAGGACATCATGCTTGGAAAAGTGGAGGATCAATGAAAAAGTAGACCTCCAACAAGATGGATTGATACAATGGCAGCAGCAACGGGCTTAAACATGACAACGATTATGAGGACGCGGAAGGGCCAGGCAGTGTTTCATTCTGTTGTGAGCAGAAATTGACTCAATGGCACCTACCAGCAACAGCAGCAGCAGGCTTCAAGATTGTCACCCTGACTGCTCCTTTTCTGTATTCAGCATGCTCTATATATAAGCTCTTTCTTAAGCTGTGTAAACAACTACCTAGGTAATCAACCAAAACCAAACCCACTGTCGTTGAGTCCATTTCTACTCATAGCAAATCTACAGGATCATGTAGAAATGCCCCCAGAGTGTTTCTGAGACTATAAATCTTTACGGGAGCCGGGAGCCTCATCTTTCTCCCTCGGAGTGGCTGGAGTGGCTGGTGGGTTTAAAGTAGACCTTGAAGTTAGCATCTCAGTGCTTACTCCACTGAGCCACTAGGGCTCCTTACTACCTAGATTGTTGTTGTTGTTAAGTGCCGTCAACTCAATTTTGACTCATAGCAACCCTGTATAGATTTTCCGAGGCAATGAATCTTTATAGACACAGAAAGCCTCATATTTCTCCCACAGAGCAGCTGGTAGATTAGAACTGCTGACCTTTCAGTTAGCAGTCCAACATGTAACCACTACGCTACCAGAGTTCCTTGATAGATCATGAAAAACCAGTTCCTAGTAAGGAAGACAGTGGTATATGACTACTAGCTGCCAAAGTCACAGGCTGTTGTTAAGTGCCATTGAGTAAGTTCCAACTCATAGCAACCCTGTATAGGGTTTCCAAGAAGCGGCTGATGTGTTTGAACCGTCAACTTTGTGGTTCAAATCGACCTTCAAGTCGAGTGCTTATCCTACAGTACCACGCTAGTCCCCTAGCCAAGCTGGTGAGTAGATTAAGGATTCACTTGGATGATCCTTGTTGACAGTACCCACCATTATTGCAGAAAACGAGAATAGATCTCTTTGACTTGCCTATGAACAACATGAAAAATAGAAAAAATATTGACGTTGTTACAGATTTCATTTTACTGGAAACGAAATTATGTGAAGTGCCCATATAAAACTAACCAAGAGGATTTGTCCTACCTTTTTTTTTATTATATGATCAAGGAAAGAGGAAAATCCAGTTTTACAAAGCCACGGTTACCCACGTATATGGAGTCCTGGTGTGGCACTAGGGGCTAAAGCTCTGGACTGTAAGGTCGATATGAACCACAAGGTTGGTGGTTCAAACACCAGCCGCTCCTTAGAAACCCTATACAGGGTTGTTCTGAGTCTGGACTGACTCAATGGTACTTAACAACAATAATCCCAGGTATACAGGATTTATATGAAAGTGCTTAAATATATTCATTTATTCTCAATAAATATTTACTATGTTTCATCAAGGAGTCCTGGTGTGGCTCTGTGGGTTAATGGGCAAGACTGCAATGTCAGTTTGAACTGCAAGGTCAGCGGGGGTTCAAGCTCACCAGCCGCTCCTTGGAAACCCTATACAGGGTCCCTATGGGTCAGAACCGACTCAATGGCACTTAATAACAACATTTCATCAAAAGGCAGGTGATTGCCTCAGCACTTAGGATACAGACAGTGTGATAGGCGGAGACAAACAGGTGTTTAATAGAAAGGTAGAGAAAAGAGGGGGAAATTATCAGATGGCATTGTGTAAAAGAGGCATACTATATGTACCCTAATATGTCCAGGGCAACAGATGAATTTGAGTGGCGTGGGGGAAGCATGTCAGCAGGCAGCACAGGTCTAGTTAGGAGGTTATAATAAAGATTTAGATAAAAGACTAAAGCTAAATAAAGAGGGAGTCCTGGTGTGGCACTGTAGGATAAGCTCTGGACTGCAAGGTTGGTTTGAACTGTAATGTTGGCGGTTTTAACTCATCAGCCACTTCACAGAAACCCTATCCAGGGTTGTTATGGGTCAGAGCCAATTAAACGACACTAACAACAACAAAGAAGAGGCTACCCACACAGCTTCACTTTATCAATGGTTACACTGTACTGCAGATGTTCATTTACTTGCCCTGCAGACTGGATCACCTTTCTATTTCCAATGCCTAATCGAGGCACCTGTCTCACAGCAAGCAGTAGGGAAAGAGGCTACAAACCTGTTCCAATGGCTGGGAGGCATATGGACTCATATTTCCGGCTTTCACACTCTTGCAAGACACAGGTCATTGATTTTTTGACATCATTTCCTCCAATGACATGAATAATATTCTTGCACCCCAAGAGTCCACCTTTGGTAATTATATAACCTTTGTTGGCCTTTTTAGCTGGGAGACAGGAGGCAAGAAGAAACAAAATTAGATACTGATTCCATTCTTTTACTTGTTTGTTTGTTTGTTTTCTCTTTTATGTTTTTTTTTTTTTGTATTGTATTGCTTGGAAAACATATCCAACTAAATACAGTTAAGCAATATTTGACTTTATAATATCAAATATTTAATGTTACAATGGAGCTCTTTAGGATTGGATTTATCAACTTATTTCTGCACTCTTCATAATACCTACTCTATACTATCGTTATTTTTCTATCTTCTTCTGAGTTGTTTAAAAAAATAATTTTAAATTCTATCATTTTCCATGCAGAATGAATATTAATTTTCTGTTAGATTTTTTAAAAATCTATTTCATTTTAATGATTACAAATCCCCTCCATGTACCATCAGTTAATAGTTTGCCTCTCTTTCTTTGAACTCTTACATTCCTCCATATATTTTTCCCTACCTCCATCTTTCTTCTGCCAACCTCCCTCTTATAGTATATTGCCTTTCCTGTCATCTAAATTAACATGCGTTTACCTCTAGCCAGTGAATAATTCTCCCTTCACTCCCATCCCAGGTGACCATCATAGAATATTTCTTTTAGCATGAAAATCTGTTCTTCATTTTTTACAATTGTGTCTCATACAGTATCTGTCCTTTTGTGATTGGCTAATATCCATGTTATCACATATTCATCATTATTCTTCAACCTTGTATAGTATTCCATGATGTGTATGTATCAACGTTTGTTTAACCACTCTTCTGTTGTTCGGCATTAGGATGTCTCCATCTTTTACAATTGTGAAGAGTGCTGCAATAAACATGTGTGTGCACATATCTATTCATGTGACAGCTCCTGTTTCTTGAGGATATATACCAAGTAGAGGGATTGCTAGGTCATGTGGCATTTTTATTTCCAAATTTTTGAGAAAGTACAATACTGTTTTCCAGAGTGGTTGCAACATTCTACAGTCTCACCAGCTGTGTAGGAGGGGTTCAGTCTCTCCACGTTCCTGCCAGCATTTGTTTTCTATTGTTTATTTTTTAAACTTTGCTGTCAATACTGTGTTAAGATGATATCTGGTTGTTTTCATTTGCATCTCTCTAATGGCTAGTGATCATGAGCATTTCCTTATATATTTGTTGGTTGCCTGAGTGTCCTCTTAGATGAAGTGTCTATTCAAGTCCTCTGCCTATTTATAAATTGAACTATTTATTGTCTTATTGTTGAGATGTTGAAGTGTTCTATAAATTTTAGAGAGTAGTGTTTCGTCTGAAATGTCATTGCCCAAACGTTTTCCCCAGTCTGTGAGTTCTCTTTCTACTCTTTTGGTGAAATCTTTTAATGTACGTAAATGTCCAATTTTTAGGAGTCACTTATTCTGCCTCCTGCTGTTTGTGTGTTTTAAATTATGTTTGGTAGTGTATGTGTGCCATGTATTAGAGCCCCTAATTTTGTTCCTATTTTTTCATTGATGATCTATATAATTCTATGTTTTACATGTAGGTCTTTAGTCTGTGTTGGGTTCATTTTTTAATATGGTGTAAGATATGGATCTTGTTTCATTATTTTTTAAATGTTTTTTCAGTTTTGCCAGCACTGTTTGTTGAAGAGACTATCTCTTCCCCATTTAAGGGGTATCAGCCCGTTGGCAAAGATCATCTGAGCATAGGTGGATGGACTTACTTCTGAGCTATCAATTCTGTTCCTTTGATCTATGTGTCTTTTGTTGTAACATCGCTAAGTTGTTTTGACTACTATGGCTGTGTAGTAGGTTTTTGAGATCAGGAAGTGAGAGCCCTCCTACTTTGTTCTTCTTTTTCAGTAATGCTTTGCTTATCTGGAGTCTCTTTCCTTTCCATATAAAGTTAGTGATTAGTGTTTTCATCTCTTTAAAAAATGATGTTGGAATCTGGATTGGGGTTGCATTATATCATCTGTAGATTGCTTTGGCTAGTGTTGCCATTTTCACAATGTTAAGTCTTCTTATCCACAAACATAGTATATTTATATTCTTCCATTTTTGTAGGTCTCTTTTGGTTTCTTGTAATAATGTTTTGTAGTCTTCTTTGTATAAGTCTTTTCTTTTACTGGTTAGATTTATTTCTAAGTATTTCATTTTTTGTGCACGTCCGTAAATGGTATTATGTTCCTGATTTCCTTTATAGAGCTCTGTTTATTAGTGTAATGGAATCCAACTGACTTTTGTATGTTGATCTGCTGAATCTTTCAATGAATTCCAATAATTTTCTTGCTGAGTCTTTGGGATTTTCTAAGTATCAGATCATATCACCTGCAATTAGAGAAAGTTTTACTTCTTCACCAATTTGGATGCCTTTAGTTTCCCTTTATTGCCCTATAGCTCTGGCCAAGACTTACCACACAATATTGAATAGGAGTGGTGATACAGGACATTCTTGTCTAGTTCTTGTTCACAAAGGGAATGTTTTCCATTTCTATCCATTGAGAATGATGTTGGCTGTTGTTTTGTATAAATGCCCTTAATTATGCTGAGGATTTCCCCTTCTAGTCCTATTTTGTTGAGTGTTCTTATGAGGAATGGGTGTTGGATTTTGCCATATGGCTTTTCTGCATCAATCAACATGATCATGTGGTTCTTTGGGTTGGTGTTATTTATATGGTTAATTATGTTGGTTGTTTTTCTAATATTAAACCATTCCTGCATACCTGATATGAATCCCACTTGGTCCTGGTATATTATTTTTTTGCTATGTTGTTAGATTCTATTGTCTAGGATTTTGTTGAGAACTTTTGCATCTATGTTCATGAGGGATATTGGTCTATAATTTTCTTTTTTAGTGATGCCTTTGCCTGGTTTTGGTATGATTTGCTTGCTTCATGAAGTGAATCCTTTTCTATATTTTGGAATAGTTGGAGTAAAATTGGTGTCAATTCTTCTCTGAATGTTTGGTAGAATTTACCAGTAAAGCCACCTGAGTCCAGACTTACTTTGTTGGGAGTTTTTTAATGACTTGATCAATTTCTTATCTTGTTGTAGGCCTGTTCAAGTTTTCTAATTCTGTTAGTTTAGGTAGGTCATGTGTTTAAAGAAATTTGTCCATTTCTTCTAGATTTTCAAATTTGTTAGAGTACAATTCTTCATAGTATTCCATTTATTGTTGTTGTTAAGTGCTGTCAAGTTGACTCCGACTCATAGCGACCCTGTACCGGTTTCCAAGAAGCGACTGAAATGCTGACCTTGTTTGAAATACTGACCCTGTAGTTAGTAGTCCAATGCTTATTCTAAAGACCCACACCAGGGCTCCATTGTTGTTGTTGTTAAGTGCCGTCGAGTCGGTTTCGACCCATAGTGACCCTGAATAGGGTTTCCGAGGCTGTAAATCTTTACGGGAGCAGATCGCCTCATCTTTCTCCCGCGGAGCAGCTGGTAGTTTCGAACTGCTGACCTTCCGGTTCACAGCCCGATTCGTAACCACTACGCTACCAGAGCTCCTTAGTACTCCATTATTACCCTTCTTATGTCCACTGGTTCTGTTGATGTCACCTGTATCATTTCCTATGCATGCTATTTGCACTTTCTCTTTTTCTTTTGTTAGATTTACCAGTGGTTTGTCAATTTTATTAATCCTTTCAAAGAATCAACTTTCTGTCTTATTGCATCTTCTTTTGTTTTCTGTTTTCATTTTCGGTTCTTTCTGTTCTAATCCTTATTATTTTTCTATTCTTGTGGTTGAAGGCTCACTTTTCTGCTCTTTTTATAATTGTTGGAGATGTTGAGGTGAAGTGTTGATTTTTGGTTCTTTTTTCTTTTGGGATATATGCTCTTACTATAATTTGCCCTCTGAGCACTGCTTTTGTTGAGTCCCAAAGGTTTTGTTATATTGTGTTCTCATTCTTGCTTGGCTCAAGGAATTTTTTTTTATTTCTTCTATTACTCAGTAGCTTTGAAGCCCCATGTTATTCAATTTCCATTTGTATTTGATATTTTTTTCCTTGATCTTCTTATTGTTTCTTCTGAGAAATCAGAGTACTGATTTTCCTTTGTAGATTACCTCATTTTTCCCAAGCTGTTCTCGGGATGCTTTCCTTGATTTTTGAAAGTTTGATTACAATATGCCCTAGTGATTTTCTTTAGAGGTCCATCCTGTTTGGGGTTCATTCAACTTCTTGAATGCTGATAGTCTTGTCTTTCTTGATGTTAGGCAAGTTTCCTTCCAATAACTCTTTCCAACAATTTTCTCTGTGCTTTTTATTGTCTCTTCCTGTTCTGGAATTCTGATAATATATAAGCTATTCATCTTTATGATGTTCCATATAAATATTAGGTTTCCTTTGGATTTTTTTCTTCATTTATTTCTGATTGTTCTTCTAACATACTATTATTAAGAGATTCATCTTCCATGATTCAAATCTACTCTTCTGCATTTTTAATGTTTTGTCCATTTCTGAAATCTTAGCATTAATTTTCGGGATTTCTTTTTGCAGATTTTGTATTGTTTCAAATTTTTCACTTATTTTGTGTTTGTTCTTGTGTTTTCCTGAATTCTTCTAAAGTGTTTTCTATGTTCTCCTTGCTTTCCTGAATCTTTCTGTCAATTCACTGAAGGTACTTAAATATCATTCTTTTGAATTCTTTCTCAAATAGTTCCATTACCTTTTTTTCCTCAGAAAATGTTCTAGCTCTACAACTTGGTCATCTGTTTGAGCCATTCTTTTATCTTTATGTGAACTGAAATCGTCTGTTGTTTCTAAGACATTGTGGTGTTTTTCTGTGTGTGTATCTAATTGATTATTGTACTTTGGTGTGCTCGTGGGCTCTCATCAACTACCTCCAGGTGGGTGTGATTAGAGAGTGGCAGTCTGAGCACAGTTCTCCATTTGCCGTGTGTGCAGCTTAATTTAGGTGATTTGACTGGTGTTAGCTGCTGTCAAATGTTGATCAGGTGTTATAGAAGCTGATATTGGATCTTGCAAAGGGGGTGGAGCTGTAAAGGGTGTGGTTGTGTCTGGCCTGTACAGAAGGCACAGTGTCTATCTCCCATTGGATAGACAAGAAGAGAAAGCACACATACACACAAAGTAAAACAAGCAAGCAAACAACAGTGAAAAAAGAAAATAATAAAGGAGAAAAAAGAAAAATCAGGCAGCAACAACAAAAGAACATAGTAAGTAAAAAGAGAAATGAAAGAAAGGAAAATAGAGGGATAAGAGAGTAAATAGAAAGAAAAAAAAATTACCACCCCCAAAAAATAAATAAACAAAAACAGAGAGGTGGAAATTTAAGAGAGAGAGACGAGAGAGCAGTGAAGAAAAATCAAGAAGTAAAAAAGAAATATCAAGAAGAAAAGGTGAGGAAGAGAAACAGAAGAAAGGAAGAAAAAACAAAAGTAGAGATAGAATAACAACCAAGGGAAGTGAAATAAAAGAACAAGGAGAAGAAAGAATAACCAAACAAAAACTGTGAAAATAAAACAAGTGCAGATGCTGGACTCAGAGAAGAGAAAACTTTGGGAGTTCTCACCAGTTAAGAAACTCACGGGGTCTCAGATGAGACCGCAGTGTTCCCAGCCCAAGATGGAGTTACTGTAAACCTAGATGTTGTCTATGTTCAGGGCCCACAATTTGGAAGTCGTTCGTGCAGACCCTTACAGTAGCTGGGTTGAATGTCTGTTTCACATCCCGAACGCTGCTAGCAGCAGGGCAATCAGAGATGACGGTTCCTTCTAGTCCAAGGCTGACCTGGCAGGCTCTGTCAGTCTGAAGAGCCTGCCTCAATCTGCTGCTGCTCATAACCGTGTGCTCTGAACTCCCGGACAGCATGGGTTGCACTGGGGGTGGACAAAACCACACCTCCAGTCACCAGGGGAGTGTGGGGACAAGCAAGAATTCCACCTTTCCAGTTGTTATTCAATGATGTGACTCTGTGTCACCAAATCACCATCTGTCTCCACAGCTGCCCATAAAAGTTCAAGATAGCTGCATCACTTGTGGTGGCAGACTCTTCACCAGATCCTGCTCAGCTTCTTCTCCCAGTAAGTATTCAATCCACTTCTCTAACCTTCCCTCTGATGTTCAGGGTTCCAGGATAATCATTTGTGTCTGTTTCATTTGGTCTCCCATATCTTTGTTTTAGAGGGTCTGTGTATAGCATATCTACCTAGTCCAACAGGTTTAAGACTTTCTGATACTGATCTCATTTTTTTGTTCAGAAAGCAGTATGTCCCATGTGGCTAAGAAAACATTTTATTTTTAAATAAGAAAACGACTCCAAACATACTATCTTTACTGGATTTTTCTTGTTAACAAGGTTACTTTTTGCTTCTAATTCTCTATGACTGGAATTCTTTAATAAAGCATATAATTTTAAGGGTTGTCATGGTGTTGTGTCCCCAGTCCCAAGATGTTTTCCATTCTCTCCACAAGCTTCCATGTTGTCTTCCACAACACACACACATACACAAAACACAAAGGAAAAGACAAAAACAGCATGTGCCTTACCTTCAAGTATACATTCTCCTTCCACATCTGGTCCAGCAGCTTCTAAAATCACTTTGGAGACCCCTACATGAGAAAAATCAAGGATCAGAACAAAGTGCAGTTGGATCAAACATTTGCCTCATTTACCTAAATGCTTTCTGTATCATCAAAGACTCTTATAACCTGGCAACCAAGAGGGAAAAAATGGTCCTACAGGAAGCTGGAGCAAAGCTCTGTAGCTTTGGGTTCAAGGTTTCATCTTCTAGACAGAGGACCCATTTTCCAGGACCTATTCTAATGAACAATGTGGCTGGTAGACTCTTTGGCACGAGTGCTGTGCTAATATGGCTGCAGCCATGGCCCAATGGGACAATAATTCATTGTCTATAAACTAGCTGGTTTTTCTAATTTTGGGCTGAGACAGGTATGTACCAGCAGGGCAGAAAGCAAATGTGGAGAGCAAGATGAGCCTTACCTATCCTCTCCATATGAGAAGATAATTCAAAGTGTGTCCTCTTTCCAAAGGAATAAAACTATTCCTGCTCATGACTTTTAAAAAGAAGAAATGTAAACAAAATTTTAATATGCCCTTTATAAATTGGGGGGTTGAAAAATACTGTGGCAACCATATTTATCATTTTGCCACTAGTGAACTATGTAAGCTGAGGAAATCCATATTATTTTCAAAATTTATGTACAAAACAGAATTTCATTTAGTGTTATTTTCCCAAATAAGGGAGGAAGGGATAAGAATATTCCTGAAATAGTTGTTCAGTAAAGAAGGCTTTGTACATCATTTCCCAAATAAGCCATTTCAGAAAGGCTGGCAGCTCTAATTGCTTCTCTACAGACTTTACGGCACTGTCATCGTTTCTTTCATCTGTCCACAAATGTTCATTGGAAAACCACAAAACCAATACTAGATAGAAGGGTTGACGAAATATGGCACTGAAGAATATAAAGTCCTTGCCGACAACACTTAAGGGTGATTGAAATTGTGAATTTAGTATCATTTTTCTCCAAGTCATTGAGGCTAAGATATTGGTGTTCACTTTGACACCCTGCCTCTCCTTTTTCCCCAATTGCAGACAGTTATAAAGACTTCTGCACTCTTTTTTTTCATGCCACTGTGTTATATCTGTCTCTTTCCCAGCCCAAGGTAACCACCTAGTTCGGCCTGCCTTCCCACCCTTCCTTGTGTCCTGAGAGCTGCCACCAGATGGAGTGTGTCTATCAGACAACCTTTGATTTCTGTGCCTACCGCGTTCTTCTTAAGCAGTGCTTTGCTTATCCTCGGTCTCTTTCTTTTCCATATGAAGTTTGTAATTGTTTTTTCCATCTCTTTGAAGAATGTCTTTGGAATCTGGATTGGGATTGCATTATATGTGTAAATTGCTTTGGGCAGTATTGACATTTTCACAATGTTAAGTCTTCCTATCCAGGAACATAGTATATTCTTCCATTTTTGTAGGTGTCGTTTGGGTTCTTGTAGTAGTGTTCTGTAGTTTTCTTTGTATAGGTCCTTTGTTTCTATAGTTACATTTATTCCTATATATTTCATCCTTTGGGTGGCTATTGTAAATGGTATTGTTTTCCTAATGTCCTTTTCATCACTGTCATTATTGATATAGAGGAATCCAACTAATTTTTGGATATTGATCTTATTCCCTGCCTCTTTGCTGAATACTCCAATAAGGTCTAGTAGCTTTTTTACTGAGTCTTTGGGGTTTTCTATATATAGGATCATATCATCTGAAAATAGAGAGAGTTTTACTTCCTCTTGCCATGTAGCTCTAAGACTTAGAGCACAGTATTGAATAGGAGTGGGGACAAAGGGCATCCTTATCTGGTTCCTGTTCTCAGAGGGAAGAATTTCAGTTTCTCTCCATTGAGAGGAATGTAGGATGTTGGTTTTATATATATGCTCTTGTTTATGTTGAGGAATTTCCCTTCATTTCCTACTTTGTTGAGTGTTTTTATCAGGAATAGATGTTGGATTTTGTCAAATGTATTTTCTGCATCAATCAATATGATCATGTGGTTCTTTTCTTTTTTCTTGTTTATATGGTAAATTACATTGGTTGTTTTTCTAATGTTAAACCATCCTTGCATCCCTGATATGAATCCCACTTGGTCATGATGTATTATTTTTCTGATGTGCTGCTGGATTCTGTTGGCTAGGATTTTGTTGAGAATTTTTGCCTCTATGTTCATGAGGTATATTGATCTATAATTTTCTTTCTTAGTGATGTCCTTCCCTGGTTTTGGTATGAGGGTTATGCTTGCTTCATGAAATGTATTAGGAAGATTTCCATCCTCCTCTATATTCTGGAACAATTTGAGTAGAATTGGTGACAACTCTTCCCTGAATGTCAGGTAGAACTCACCAATGAAGCCATCTGGGCCTGGACTTCTTTTGGTTGGGAGTTTTTTGATGACTTGATCAATTTCTTCTTTTGTTATAGGTCTGTTCAAGTCTTCAACTTCACTCTGTGTGAGTTTAGGTAGGTCGTGTTTTTCTAAAAATGTATCCATTTCTTCTAAGTTTTCAAATTTGTTGGAGTACAACTCTTCATAGTGTTCTTTTATTATCCTTTTGATTTCCTTTGGTTCTGTTGTAACATCGCCCATGTGGTTTCTAATGCGTGTTATTTGTGTCTTCTCTCTCTTTTCTTTTGTTAGGTTTGCCAATGGTTTGTCAATTTTATTAATCCTTTCAAAGAACCAGCTTCTTGTCCTATTGATTTTTTCTATCTCATTTATTTCTGCTCTGAATATTTCTGTTATTTCTTTTCTTCTGGTGACTGTAGGGTCCCTCTGTTGGTCTGCTTCTAGTTGTTGGAAATGTTGTGTTAATGTGTTCATTTTGATTCTTTCTTCTTTTTGGATGTGCGCATTTATCGCAATAAATTGTCCTCTCAGCACTGCTTTCCCCATGTCCCAAAGATTTTGGTATGTTGTGTTTTCGTTCTCGTTTGTTTCTAGGAACTTTCTGAATTCACGTTTAATTTCTTCTATTATCCAGTTGCTCTTCAGCAGGGTGTTACTCAGTTTCCATGTGTTAAACTTTATTTCCTTGCTCTCCTTATTGTTGATTTCTAACTTTATGGCATTGTGGTCTGAAAAGATGCTATGTAGTATTTTGTTGTTTGTAAATTTATGGAGGCTTGCTTTGTGACCTAACACATGGTCAATTCTGGAGACTGTTCCACGTGCACTGGAAAATAATGTATATTGTGCTGTTGTTGGGTTGAATGCTCTGTACACGTCAAGTTCGTTGATTGTGCTGTTTAAGTTTCTCTGTAGCTTTTTCAAGTTTCTTTCTGGTTGTTCTGTCCCTTTTTGAAAGTGGCATATTAAAATCCCCCACTATAATTGTAGATTTATCTATTTCTTTCTTCAATTCTAGTAGGGTTTGCTTTATATATCTTGGTGCTCTTTTATTTGGAGCGTAGATGTTAATTATGGGTATGTCATCTTGCTCAATTGACCCTTTAATCATGAGATAGTGTCCTTCCGTATCTCTTATGGTGGTTTTTGCTTTAAAGTTCATTTTATCAGAGATTAGTATTGCCACTCCTGCTCTTAGCTTGGTATATTTTCTTTCCATTCTTGAACTTTTAGTCTGTTTTTTTCATTGTGTGTAAGGTGTGTCTCTTGCAGGTAGTGTATTGAAGGGTCTTGTTTTCTTATCCATTCAGCCACTCTCTGTCTCTTTATTGGTGCAATTAATCCATTGACATTCAGTTTAATTATCAATAGGTACGAATTAGCTGCTGTCATTATGTTAATTTTTTGTGGTGCTGTTTGTTCCTTTGTTTTGCATGCCTTCTTGTGTTGTGTTCATGTTTTTTGTGCTATTTCTTGTCGGTTTCTTCTTTGTTTTAATGTTTCCTTGTTCTGCTTGGATCTTCATTTTTATGGTAAGTTGTGAAGTATTAATTTTCTTTGGGTTTACCCAATAGTCTGTTAAGCTTTACCAGCGTTTGAGACAGTCTATTGTATCCTGCCATCTACTCAACCTCCTCACCACCTGTATCTCTGTTCCTATATTTTTCCCTTCTTTAATATTGTTCATCTATTTATCTTTGGCTGACCTCACAGGTCCTCTGAATTTATTGCTCTAATTTTGTTCCGTTCTGAATTCTGTTATCTGTCAACTGAGTTCCAGGTGGTGTTGCCACGTCTGTCAATCTCTAGTTGTTGTCTGTTCTTGGTGGTTTTCATTCCAAAGAACTCCCTTTAGGATGTTTTGAAGTGCTGGATTGGCTTTAACAAAACTTCTTAGCTTCTGTTTATCCTGGAATTTTGTGTTTGCACCATTGTATCTGATTGACAGTTTTGCTGGATAGACAATTCTTGGTTGGCAGTTTTTTTTCTTTTAAGGTTTTATATATGTTTCCCCATTGCCTTCTTGCCTGAATGGTTTCTGTTGAGAAGTCAGAGCTTAATCTGATTTGCTTGCCTTTGTAGGTGACACTTCACTTTTCCCTGGCTGCTTTTAGGTTCTCTCCTTCTCTTTGATTTTAGAGAGCTCGATTATGATATGTCTTGGTGATTTTCTTTTGGGGGTCTATCCTTCCTGGGGTTCTTTCCGCTTCTTGAATGTTTATCTTCTCACCCTTTAAGATGTTAGGAAATTTTTCTTCCAGTAGCTCTTCAACTATCTCTTCTGTGGACTTCTGTGATTCTTCCTGTTTGGGAATGCCAGTAATTCTTGAGTTATTCCTCTTCATGTTATCCAGCATGAATCTTAGACTCCCCAGATTTTTTAATCCTTTTTTCTGCTTGCTCTCCTATCTTAGCAGTATTGAGAGATTTGTCTTCAAGATCGCTGGTTCTGGCTTCCATCTCTTCCATTCTGCTCCTTTGCCCTTTCAATGTATTGTCCATTTCTGATATTTTATTATTAATCATCTGGACTTCTTTTTGCAGGTTTTGGATTGTTTCCAATGCTGTATTTATCTTGTTTGATTGCTCCTGTAGCACTTTCCTGACTTCTTCCTTATTTTCCTCCACCCCTTTTTCAGAGCATTTGAATTTGTTTCCATATTATTCTTCTGAATTCCCACTCAGGAAGATCC